GCGCTACGATATTATGCACCAACCCAATACATTAACGACGAAGCATACTCAATTGGGTGCCATTTTCTGAACTCTACTCCAACGTTGGGGGTCATCAATGCCTACCCCGCTTCGCCCTTCCACCTGTGTAACGAGAGTAAAGTCTTCTCCGTGAGCCCACTTCATCGTGCAATAAACACGCCAGTGATTGGCAGCTTTCCAGTTCCGTCATACCAATCCTGTTGATCTCCTTCGAGCCTAGTTATTAACATCAGGCCCATGAATGCCAGTGTGATTGAGCTCTAAAGAGTTCGCGACAACCTGTCAAATGGTCATATGTTCAAGGTGCGGAGTGGCAATGGTTTCACTAGTTTATTACCAGTTTCTTCCTCATTATCACTCATAAGATATACTCGCTATACCTTCTAGGAGTTAAACAAATGTGAGTTCGAGGTCAAAGTACGACGGCGCTGATTCGCTCCTCTTCGCTAAATTCGGCTTGCCGTAGAAATTTTTTGATCACATCTATCGAGAAGTGTTTATTTGAGATGTGCTGACCTATTCATGCCTAGGATGCCTCCCACAGCAGAGCCATTTATGCTGCTACGCTCCCGCAAAAAAGATCTCCTGCCACCCAGGTCAAGTCCTCTCCATAGCATTTTTTGGCCCCTGTAGGCACTGCGTATAGGATCCGATAAATAAAGCAAACTTTGTACGTCGTTGTTGTGGATGACTAATTTGAGAATGCAGGGTGAGTGTTGACTTTCTTCATGCCAAATGCATGAACGTCTTCTTTTGTTCTGATGCGATTTCGCTTAGATTCATTGACGCTGGTGTTGATGACATTGAAACGAATACGTACCACGCGTCCCTGTCATCTCTCGAACAGCAAGGCCTTAACGGTTCGGAGCTCATTAAGGTAAGAAACTCTGTTTGGATTCACTCTTTAAAAGAAAAAGTCAAGAAATTGCACAGAAAGCAGTTATTTTTGCTATACGTTTTTTTGAGAGAAGCTACTTCTAAGCATTCAGCCAAAAGATTGTCGGAAAAGCATTGTCATTTTTCTTTCATGCTGTTTCTGCTTGACCACCAAGCCATAGCGGTTTTGAACCTGAAATTTTCCTTCTGAAGCCCAATTTTTTTGCACCAACTGGATATACTATTGGTGGCTACTCCTACGTTTTGTTTAGATATTCAGTCTGAATAGGTCGAAGTGTAGGCTTAGGTGATAAGGTGCCCAGTCCACGAGAATGGCCACAATATTTCAAGAAACAAATTTCCTAGAAGACGATAAAATGAATCAAGCATACGTTTCAATAGCATTACTCTTCTGACATTCAACTATACTTTCAATGCTAGGCTGTTAAGAATTTTTGGGGGGATTTGACGCGATAGTGCCACACCAGCGAGTTCTGGCGAAAAAATCATGATTGAAAGAAAAGATGAAGCGACGTTTTGGAAAACCTTATAGTGGAACGTTCACAATACATCGTGATTAAGTGGAAGGTTCATGCATCATCGGTCGATATCTCCTATCTTTTGTTGGAAGATACGTTAGACCTAGTTGTCAGTTCGCCTAATTTTCCACCTACTGCGTCGACTAGACCTTCAATTTTGCAGGCTCAAAGCGAGACGATTAGGATGGGTTTATAGTGGAAGTGGGAGATGTTGAATAACGCACCAAAGGCAAAAAATCAAAGAAATCGTCGAAAACGCAAAATGAGACGGCTTTCTCTGCCCGTTGACCTCGGAAAACGGACGAGCCAGCAACCAAAAATTGTTTGCACGTGTTAATCCGATAGCTACCATCATGCCAACAACCATCATGCTTTGATGGATAACGCTGTCCACATAAAGGTCATGGGATA